GCAATGTGTATTGTTTCACTTAATCACGTGATAAGTCCTGTCTGGGTTTTTTTTCTGTTTACTGGGTGCAGCCCCTGTCCTTCCGCCCCACATGTCCACTCTGGTGGCCTGTCTGGGTATTGTGTATGGGATCCTCTCTTTATATAGATACATGCACCCTTTTCCGGCTTTATGAGCATAGGATAGATTACTACAGCCTGGATCATATTGAGCCCTAAGATTAGGATCTTCTCTGGGTTGGCAACCAATCCCTCAGCCAATGTTTAAAGAAAGAAATAAACAAACAAACCCAAAACTGATAGATGCTCAAATTCTGAAAACTTTATTCCAAAGGGGTCCTTCCTGAGCTCAAAGGGCGTCTCCTTCCATATTGATTAGGCTGGCGGCAGAACATGGATATACCCTCCTGTGGGTTTCTTGCACTATAATTCACCAAAGAGATCTGGAGTAATCCAAGATTTTGTGACTTTATCTGGCAGAGCTTTTGTGAATCTAAAATGCCATTCTGTTGTGGAAGACAGAAGAGTGGCACAGAAAGGAAACCAGTAAATATTTGGAAACCATATGTAAATTTCCTCCGAGTTCTCCCAAATCTTGGAATTGTCGCTTTTTTTAACTACACTGCCCAGAATCCCCAGCAATAGGCTGGTTTACGTGTTGTAAATTATAACAAAGAGGGTCAAACAAATATTATATTAAAAACTGTTTGAGGAAGAGGACTTGTCCACAAAAGCTCACATTAAATTATAGCAGTTAGTTTTTAAGATGCCACACATTTTTGTCCTCTTTATTTATTTTTGTTTTTTATTTTTATTTTTTTTCTGATGTGCTAGCACAGACTAACAGGCTACCTTTTCTTTAAAAAAAACACCCCACAATATAAACAATACCAAAACACATTCAAAACAATAAGGTACAACAATCCATTTAAAAAGCCAAGCTCCGGATTTTTCACACTGAAACTAGAGGACTTTACAGTGGAGTGTTGTTGTTGTTTTGACTTATATAGTGCCCCATAATATGTAAGTTGAAACAACAACATTGAGTGGTTTACAACATAATTATGCAAGGAACACTTTGCTCCCCAGTAAGCTGGGTACTCATTTTACCGACCTCGAAAGGATGGAAGACTGAGTCAGCTTTGAGTTAGCTACCTGAATCTGCTTGGATCAAACTCAGGTGGTGAGCAAAGGCTTAACTGCAATACTGCAGTTTAACCATTGCACCACAAGGCTCTCTACATCTCTACCCAGAAGTAAACCTCACTAAATGTAATGACACTGACTCCCCTCTAAATGAGAACACATGCCTGATGCTGCAAACCTACACCACTGGGTTATGGGCAGCATTCACGGGCTTTGGATGCATCCGCTTTTAAATTGGTCTGGTTAGTGTTCTAAATCAGTTTCAGTCGGTGGGCACTGCGTCCGTCCACTGAGTTCGAGACTAGAATGTGATCATGTTTCACTGGCTTGGCTTGTGTTTGGGGAACGGTGTTTCGTTCACGGCGTGTCTGCCCCAAATAAAAGATTTGCCTTCATTTGCCAGCGAACTCAATGGTCTAAACGTCGAGAACTCGTCTCCTATTTGAAACGGAGATGCCCAGAAGAAGCAAACCGGCGGCGACTTTCTGCCTTTCGAGAAGGGGCTGAGAGTCGATGCTGCCTGACGTCTCTTCAGATAACGCTTAAGCTGTTCGGCCTGTTCCTTCGGCTGTTCCACTGAAGGTTGGCAAAAGTCGGAGCGGCAAGGAAACCGGTTGGATTTGGCCGGGGTCACCCAAGGAAACCAATGGCAGAGACTCGAGGAGCCCTTCGCTCCAGATGGCCTGCATTTCAGAAACTGGAACAATCAGAGCTTCCCCCAGTCTGGAGCATACAACAAACATCTGCTGCTTTGCTTGCTGGAAGGCTACCGTTTCCTTTTAGCCGGTTTGTGAAGTTTTCTGTATTATGGGCTGCACGGGGGAAGGTGGGGGGGGAGGCATTACTTTTGAAGACTTACGGCTCTCAGAATATGCTTTCTGGGGGGATGTTGGGATTTGGTCCCAAAAGTTATTTTCTCAAGTAATGGCACTGCAGAAATAAATAAATAAATAAATAAATAAATAAATAAATAAATAAATAAATAAATAAATTACAGCTACCAACTGAAAAAGCAGCTAGATAGTGCAGGGCTGGCTCATCCCAGCTTTGCCAGTGTGGTTTCTTTCCATGTATATTCGAATGAAGTGCAAAGAAAAATCAGAAGTCCATCCTACCTTTGTCAAATTCTTTGCACACCCCCCCCCAGAGAAAGGGCATCCCAGGAAGTAAAACCAATGCGCCTTTAACTGAGAAGGCCTGTGAATCTCAGAGGCCGTGAGGACCCGTAGACCCGAAGTCTCTTCGGACTCACTGCACAATATTAACATAGTAGTTTTGAGCATTTTCCGAATGGCTGACCTGTAATCTCTTGCAGAAAAAACAAACAAACCAAAAATTAAAAAGAAAACAAAAACCAGAGTCTTTACCTAGGAGGAAAAAGTTTTATTTGTTATAAACCTTCGTGGACTGTAGAAGAGGACTATCCATCGTCCATCAAAGCTTATGGCAAACAAAACGCGTTCGTTCTTAAGGTGTCATAGGGCTCTTCGCTGGTTTTACTTTCAGTAGTACGGATAAACGGGGGTGAGTGGAGATCTGCTCTTGTTTTAGAACAGGACAATTGCCAGAACGTCTAAAGAACACCAGAAGGATGAGAAAATTTTCCAGTTCCGCAGGAGTCTCCGAAATGGGCCGGGGAGAGAAGGAGACATTGTCGGCCAGGCTTGGTGGCTGGCTGTTAGTGGGTGAGGCAGGAAGGGATGCATGTCCTTGATTTAACAGTAATTGTAGACCACATCATGTGCTTGATCAAGGCATCTTGGAGAGGGGATGGGGCTAGAACTCTGGATTCATACGTAAAATTTTACTAGGTTTCTTGGAATCTCTGGGCTGCAGAGGATGTTAACAGATGTCAGAAACTCCCTTTCATCGTTAGAATCATAGGAAGACCCCAAGACGAAATACATCTCACATAAAGTGTATTCTACTTGCAATAAATGTTTTAAGGATAGGGTGCAAGTTTTCCGAGCTGAATGTACTCATCGCTTTTGCCTAAACGAGTTACTGATATTAAAGGACCTCCAGTCTTCATTCATGAACACAGGACATAATCCAAAATAATCTGAAGTAAGGGAACCCAGTTGCTTGTGCCAAAGAGCATAAAGGGTAACATTCATAACCCCTTGACGTCAGTAGGAAAATTGAGATCGGTGGATCTGGACCATCTTTTTCTTTCACGCAAGACAATACTCTGCAATTCTACCTCCAAGGCCAATTCTGAATAATCTGGGAATTAATATATGGTGCTTCCCAACATATGCTTTTGGAAGAGGTGTTTATTTCTACACAGCTACAAACTGTCAGTTTCATAAGGAATTAGCTCATCCACCAAATCCATTGAAAATCCCTGGTGAGTTCAGTGAATTTACTTAAAGCAACGTGCTCTCTCCTGTATGAATCGAATAGTGGAGATTAGTTTTGGCACATGATTAGTCTTCTGGCCTTATTTCTTTCCCTTTTCCAAAGATATCTTCCCTTCCACATCCAACTAGGGATGCCTGCTCTACAGATCTTCACTAAGCTAAAGCTTTAACTTTTTAAATTCCTTCCTCTTGTTTGAGAATATCACTCCAGCCTGTTAGCTATGTTCATGATTCATTCTACCTTATGAACTATGAGCACTTCATTTTCAACCTTGGGTTTAATTTGACTTCAGGTTCCACTCCAACCCAGTTTTGATTGCCAAGTCTAAAGCAAAGTGAGGGAAGTGGGACTCTGGAGCACGTGCAGAGTGCACATGCCTGTTGATCTCCACGTCTGGGGTTGGGGAACAGCTATTTCCATGTCAAAAGAATGACCTTTACTTCCATTTCTGTAAGGGGTACCAGGAGGAAAGCCAGGCTAAGTAGCACAATCAACTACACAGGGCTACGTTCAATTTTCAGTGCTAAACAAGTGAATAACCTTCAATGAATAAGAGTTGTTAAACCAACAAATGTGTATGGTCCTTTAATTCAGTAGACCTACGGTGGTTGAGACCAGCAATTGGGCTTCTTCTATCATAACCTCTTCCTTTTCAAGTTTGTGCAGATTAACAGATCTTCCCCCACCTTTTCAGAGAGAAAGACAGAAGGAAAGGAAATGTGATGATGAGATGGAATGTTAATCACTTGCAGTTTTTGAAGACTTTTTAAAATGTCAGCTGAACATCTCTTTCACAGCAGATATTGTACAGTCTTGGAGGAAGGAGAGATGTGGGGATAGGACACATGGGAGGAAATCTGATGTTCAAAGCTTTTGGAGGATATTTCCAGAAAGCATTCCAGGTTATTCATTCAGAATAAAGTTCCAAGACCGATGCAGAAGACAGTGGCTTCATTTGGTCCCCCTGTAGCCAATAGAATAATTTGTGACAACAACTTATGGAGGTCTTTTCTCTGCACAAATATGATCTAGTTTCATTTTTCTGTTTATTGGGGAGAAAAGTTGTTGATGAAATTAATCTGGCCCTACCATTAGGCAGATGGAATGTCGATAGTATTAAATGCTACTAAAAGGGTTTCTTATTTAAAACGTTGTATTCTTAGTACAGGGTTAGCACTAGGGGTTTCTGCTTTGGGCAGCAAGATGTCTTTATCCTTCTCTGGTTGTTGATTATTGAAATGTCAGAGTTACATCATTTTAAAAAAGCTCTCTCCCACAAGTATCCAGTATTCTTTAATTCCATCTTTAATGTTTGTGGGCGATCTAAGATGACTGCTGTTCTTGAACTTGAAAGCAGTAGGTTGTAAAACACCAATCCTGTCCATGCCAGTTTGGAAGTGAAGCTCAGCTGAATAAAACAGAACATACTGATGAATTAGCATGTTTAAATGCTGAACTACAATCCTGTCCATGCCAGTTTGGAAGTGAATAAAACAGAACATACTGACGAATTAGCATTTTTAAATGCTGAACTGTATGGAGATCTTTGGGTGGTTGGTTCGGTCGCAGTGATTGTGCCTGGACAGAAAAGGAGAGAAATTACATGGTGATGCCCTCGTGAAAACAGGAATTTCTACAACTGGAAAATCAGTCTCAAAGGTGGAGGAGGGAGGTATAATACAGTGGAAGAGAAACAAATAAGAGCGGGCACACACAAAGGCAAGAAAAATTAAATCATCAGGATCATGGTGTATGAAACTAAAGTTTTTAAAATGCAAGAATTTTTAAAACATTGGAAAATCCTCTGGGCAAGGACTTACATAAGTATTAGCAACTGTAATGATTATGCTATTCAGAAAATCGCATTCATGTCCAGCAGAAGGACATGACTCTCGGTATCCTGCCTCTGTTACTCCCCAGATTGGTTTTGATAACGGTGTCTGTGAGTCTCCGATGTTTCCCGCACTTCTTGTATCTCACAGGTTGCTGGCACTCCTGTCTGTAATTAGAGGTCTTGACTCGAGCGTGTGTGTGAAAGAACAGGGGGCGTGGAGGTGCGCATCTACAGCTGATTTATGGACATTCAGACCCTCGAAACTACTTATTGGGCTACCCTATTTATCTGTGTACAGTCACGATAGAGAAATAATGGCATATTTTCCTTCCGCCAGAGGAAGAACTTGTTCAGGTGTAAACGATGACAAAGGGTCTTTAGAGCTGTAACTGCGATTTACGCCCTCCTCTTAACCCCACCCTCTTTGTTCCCATTCTTCTTTGTTCCCAACCATGTGATTTACAAATCTGACTGACTTAAGCCAGGACTGATGTTGCTTTGATTCCGAACATTAAGGCTGAGCCAATAATTGCCTAATCAGCCAGGATCAAACCGGGTAAGAAAGAGAGAGAGAGAAAGATGAAATATTGGGTGGCTCACAAATCGCTTAAGACTTAAAACGAACCCCTGGCATTTGAGACTGGAGGTTTCAAACCCGCGGGTCTCAAACGCTAGGGGTTCGTTTTAAGGCTTAAGCGATTGGTGGGTGGAAGCGTAAAGTCGAGTCCTTAAAGGGAATTAATTCAGTCCCACGACCAAAATATTTTCTCTTTTCGGTCCTTTTAGTGCGGAAAGAGGCAAAAACTGCATGTCGAATCTCATAGCCCACCTAAAGGGAACTTGGGTTGGAGCAGATTTTCAAGTACAGCTGGATACAGTTGCTCCTCTTTTTCTTGCAAATAGCGCTGCGATCCTGACTGCTTTAATTCAGAAGGAAATTCCGACCAAATCTTCTGATTTTGGAGGTGTTTTACTAATCCCATATGGAACAGGCTCCCTAAAATGTTATCTTCGGGTCACTTGTAACCAACAATTTAATTGATCTGTATTAATTTCAAATTTATTTGGGTAAGAATTGAGACCATCTCAGTTGACTTGAATAGGAGCCTCAGCCGGAGTTTGAGTTCGTTACAACCTGGGGCAATTCAATATACCGTTTGCTCTCTTTCTCGGATCTCCAGACTTTGCTTCCTCCGTCGTCTGTGATGTTTCAGATACAGTATGGAGCGGCTCTAGACTTACCTCGAATTTTACGGTATTTTAAGATATCAGTCCTTGTATCTTTAAAAATGCACTGCACCTATGTTACCAATGGAAACGGTATTTTATTTTCGGCAGGGGACATGGTGTTGTGTTATCACATAGTTGTCCCAGGGACACAGCAACGTAAATTCAGCTATATTTCAGGAGTTAGCTGTGCGTGTCATGATTTGCATTTCTATTTTTATGTAATTTACGAAGTACCCTTTTAAAACTAACACATCAAGGTCTCAGTTCAAAAGAAGGAAGAGGCTATTCTTAAGAGGTCGCCATGACCACAATAAATCACTACGAAGGAATCAAATACATATTCTAAGAAGGCCACCGACCAACAACACCCGGGTCGACAGACCAATCCAGGTAAAAAAACAGGGACCTCAGCTGAAGTGGCTTTTGAAGAAAATGAAGCAAGGGAGTGCATCTAAAGCAGTGAGGCTGGAAACCCTCAACGGCTTGCTCGGCAACAGATCAAGTTTAGATCAATAAGTTTAAAGGTTAACTTCCCATTTAATTTTTTTCGAATCGCTGCGCAAGTAGCTTCGGATCAAAGAGATCCAGTTACTTCCAACTCAGGTACAATGCAATATACACTCCTTACTTGGGAGGGGAAAAATATGGCCCTCAATGAACTTTGTTTCCGAGTAGACATACATAGACTCGATGGCTAATTCCCTACTTGGGAGTGGGATTTTTTGTTACCCCTTCCCTGCACATCCCAAAATACCAAGGAATTCCTATGTGTTAAGTTGCAGTAAAATAATTTTAAAATGCGCAAAACAGGAGCAGAATTATTATGACATAACCTTTGATGGATTCTGGATCTCACTTCCTTCCATACACGTGTTGAATATACACACAATACCCGTGCAGTTGTGTACAAAGAGAAGTCAAAACACTGCAGTATATTAAAGGAAATGTAATTCTGTCGCACTTCTATATAAAACCCAAATGTGTATAAGAACAAGGACAGGCGTTCAGAAAGCACGAGTTATTCTGTGTTTATTTAAATTTGCATGAAAATATTTTGCTGCAATAAATCTACTCGTCTTACCCAGATCTGTCGCTTTTCTGCCTGGAGAGACACTGTCTGGTCCAGCTGAAGCAGATGGGAAATAGCTAAAGCCACTGCTGTGAAGACATGCATGCATTCACGTATACAGGTCGGTCCCCTTGATTTTCTCTGGCTTGCAGTTCACGGGGCAGATGGCATTCCTCTCGCTGCTCGGGCGAGGCCGTCCTTTCCCTCCAGATACAGCCTTTCCCGACAGGTCCCGCCTGTTATCGGCAGGGGTCGGCCTCAACATTGCTGAAGCTGAAAATCTCGTGAGACTCTTCTGTTGGTGGGGCGAAATGGTTTGTGGGAGCGTGGCATTGCAGTACGTGCTTGCAAGGTAATCGTGTTGAATGTTTAAAAGGGGGGTTACTTGCAAGCAGACGCATTTACCTTGGAATAAAAAAAATATTTGATCTTACGCAAAAGCAGACTCCTGTTCCCCCTTAAATCGCACCTCGATCCATAATTACTCACTCCTGGACGAAATGCCAAGGGCTCTGATTGGAGCTGAATATTCTGTGGTATTTCAAAGAGGCTTGCTTCCAAGTTGAAGTGTTTTGGATACCTGCCTGTAGAAGCAGGAGGCGTAACTATTATTTTGCATTACTTCAGCTCAGTTGACGAATTCTTCAAACTCGCACAGCCCATTAAGAGGGCAATCCCGGTGAAAAACTCATACATCATCAGTCCATCCATGCACCCATTCTTTGTCTCGTTCTCTTCCCGCCCCTCGCCCCATCCATTTTAGAGAACAGTACACAGCCTTGCCAGGAGACGAAATGGATTTAAACCGGCTGCAATCCCAGGAGTCTTTGCTTAGAAGCAAGGCCAGCTGATTTCAAGAGGGCTGTCTCACAGGTAAATGTGCATAGGCTTGCAGAATAAATCTATGCAGAAGATTGGTGAATACCCTGCCTTATTTTGTTCACCGGAGTCTTAGGCTGCAATTCTGTGCATACTTACTTGTGAAGTATACCAAGTAGGCAGCAGGGGCTCCCGATTATGCTGTAAGGCTGCCCCGCACTTACTTGGGAGATGCATTTATTTTGTTCACTTTGCGATCTTCATCAAAATTCCTCTCTTGTGTGAAAAGAATGTGACTTTGAAACGAATTAATTGTCTGCTTGTGTGTTCTTTTAAAGGCTTATAAAAAAATTAAGGGCCTTATTAGAAAATGGCTCGTCCTCATAAAACCGAATCCTCACAGACAAGAACAAGAAACCGAATTTCGCCGTCATTCTAGCCAGGCAGCCGGAAACGTAACTTACTCGGTCTGCATCCCCTCCAAAAAGTTGCGGGAAAAGTCCCTTATGATTTTGGAATGGGGACGTTGAGACGAGAAGACGGGGAGGCTGTGGCGGAAGGGGGTCGCAAGAGAAGGTTGCATTGTGGATTGGCGACGCGGGGGGTGGGATTGTTTACCGTTCTCCCCTCCGCCGCCACTAAGGAGCCTCTTCGGCCCCTCGGTTGCCGGGCCTTTGATGAGAGCGAGACTGGACGATGAACAGAGTCCCTTTCTCGCTGACACGCCGGCCGGAGCCACTTGGGAGGTCTTTCCTTCTCAACCCATGCAGCCACCACTAACTACTCCCAACAGGAGGCTTTGTGGACCAGCCCAGGGTCACAATTAAAAGCAAGCGCTTAAAGAAGAAGAAGAAGAAGAAGGAGAAGGAGAAGAAGAAGAAGAAGAATTAGAATTAGAATTAGAAGGAGGAGGAGGAGGAGGAAGAGGAGGAGGAGGAGGAGGAAAAAGCCCTTTGCATTCGTGAAGGGCCAGCAAGGCCCAAGCCTCATCACCATTAAACTCGTAAGAGCAAGCATTCACACAAGCGCTTTACAAGCAGCACCGATTTGGCTTAAAGGAGGAAAGAGACGTTTGGAATTCCAGGGCACGTTCCCTCGGGTAGCGGAATGGGAATTCCACTGAATTCTGCAAGGGTTCCTTCCTTTCCGGTAAACAGCTCGGGAATCGGGCTGCACAAGACACTACGGTAGTCCAGTTTGAGTAACTGCCGCAAGAACTAAGGCGGAAAGCGTCTTCTCAGATTCACCGAAGGAATAGGGGCGCATCGCCGGTCTAGCTTCTCTGTCTCTCCCCTCCCCCCCCATTTCCAAGGCCTCACTAAGGAAGGGGAGAGCGGAGGACTGGTGCCTTGCCTGTTGCATCAATCCATGATTCTCTTACATACAAATCCGTTCTCACCTCTAAGCAAAGAAGGAAGGCAAAACTAAGCCATTTGGAACCTTCGGAAAACCCCTAAAACAGCTTTAAGGTGGAATCACTGGGTCTTGTTTTCAAGTAGGTAAGTAACTCCCCCCCCCTTATTAGAAACGCGTTGATAGAGCACTCTGCTTCAAATTTGCCTTCGCTGAAGCGGCGCAGCCCAGCAATCCTATGCAGGCTTTTTCAAGAATACCTCCTGTTCAACTCAGTAAGGCTTCCGAATAAGGCCCCCAGATTAGAGATTTATATCTAGCAGTAGTTCAGCCTAGTCATACGTGCACTTAATCAGAAGCAAATCTCAGTGTTTTCTATGCAGTTGCCTTCCGGGTTAGCGTCTGCCGCAGCCTTCAGAACAGCCGCAGCCTTCGCGATCACCTTCAAAGTACACTCGATTTACAGCGACCATGAAAGTATTTTCAAGGTATATGAGATATTTAAAGATTAAAAAAAAATCAGTGCCACCCTCTAGTGAGTTTCCGTGGCCCAGCAGAGATTTGAACCCACATTCCCTGAGTCCGAGTCCATCACTCTATCCTCTACACACACTGGCTCGGGAATCACCTTATAAGCACACCATCTTCAGTGACTCCTAATGCATCTTATAGCTTCCTCTTGTCACCCGATCAACAGCAATCTTTGTATTTGGGTCGATTTAAGTCTCTCTGAAGTCAGGGATGTAATCCAACCCGAATCCTCCCAGAACTGGTTTGTGGTTTGGGTTATAACTACTGTATATAACACACATAGATCTGAGAAATATATGTTTTTTTAAATCGTATATTTGCCGTAGAATCCTAGACCATAAAGGAATGACAAGTTATCAACTCATGAAACCTCACATTGTGATTTTTTTTAAAGTATTGTCTTGACAGTATGCTTTTGCCATGAACTTGCATCCTTAGATTAGTTCCGATCCAAAGATCGGAAACGTTCCTTGTTTGGACGATAGCTCCCAGAATTCCCTTGCCAGCGTGACTGGGAATTCTGGGGATTGTAGCCGATACAGGAACTTTTCCAATCCCTCTCAGGTCATTTTTTTGTTTAGACCACAAAGAAATAACGAAGTTCACAGGAGTATACGCTTGAGGAAGAGGATGTTCCTGCTCCACGAAAGTTCGCAGATTGTATGGCGATATTTTAGAGGTCTATAAAGAAATCACCTACGCATTTGTATTTTGCATTAACCACATGGTTCCCTTTTCTCTCCCAAAACACCGAGGACCATCGCTTTCTTGGCAAGTTAAGGGAAAAGCCCACGGTCCCTCTCGCACAATGTAAACGGTTCCCGAGTCAGCTCCTAATTGCAGTCCAGCATTTTGCTCATGCAGACCTTCCAAGTGGGCGAGGAAATTCAAAACAAAACAGAGGGCGGCAAGAAGGAGGAGAAAACAACACCCTTTAAATTTGGAAGCAAAAATGTCCCTCACAAGCGGATGAATCGAGATGGATTGGAGGAATTGACTAATACTATGCAAATCCAGGTGTGACCGGTGCTTATTTCCAGATTCACGCTACAGTTTACTCCCTGGTGAAATGGTGTGAGGATTTTCGCAGTCTCAAACCGTTTGTCAGCAGCTGAGGAGGAGGAAAAGTCAAATGAAGGCTGAATTCACAACACATTTAGAAGGCAGGATTCTCATGGCACTCAGCGAGACTTATGTCTAAACAAAGTCGCACAGAATTGAGCGGTAAAGCTGCTTCACCGTTAGGATCCAGTGAAAACCCATTGGTTTTCCATTGTTTCCGGACAACAAATTTAAAGAACAGGATAATAAAAACAAAGATAAAAACACAATTTTAAAAACTGTAACCTCTTACACGAAGTCAGTGGCAATCTCTCCATCTGCTGTACTGAATGAAACTGGGTTACATCCTGAAGTAGCAGGTGAGAGTTTTCAGATTTAGCGGTACTGTACAGTACTTGTCACCTAGTTCAAACGAATATATTATGTATCCGAGTGTCAACTCTATCGTTCGAATCTGAAAATCTATTGAGAGACCGTCATCCCAGTACTAAAAAGTTTGATATGAATGGAAACCACTTTGGGAGTCCAGCAGCATCCCCCCCATAAGTCAATTTATTCGAAGTCCAGTAGTTGAAGTCGTCCAGCAAAATCGACGCCAAAAGGTTTGTCTGCTGCAAATAAATCTGACATAACAATGATGGTGCTGAGATTTGGAGAATTTGTTAAATAGCCTCCTATTTTCTCAAGGAAAATCTATTTTAGGAACAGTGAAATTCAGGGTGTGTTCGCACAATACACTTTTTCTGAAATACACACATGAAAACATGGAATAATTCCTATAACGACAGCAGCTACGCATACTTTTTGATCCTAAACCAGTTGATTAAAGACTCTCCTGTTGACCAGAATAAGATTCAATATCAGAGAAGGATGGAATTCTGAGAATTTGGAAAACAAACTCATTTAAATGGGGCTTGTTCCGGAATAAGACAGGCACCACTTGGGTCCTCCCACTTTAGAAGGCTTAGCCCACGTTTGATTCGGTCCGTGCATCACGTGAGTTTACCAACCAAGGCCATAAACTGCTGACATTAATTTACACGCCGATCCTGAAAACCTGCCCTGCTCACACGGAATGGAAGCTTCAAGGTTTGGTTGATTAGGACATGAGTGGCCATACGCGGAGAAGAGAAGGAATTAAGGCTGCAACACGACCCATACTTACTTGAGAGCAAGCTTCCAAGAAGTCAGAGCGATGGAGCAAACGGAGGATTTGGGTTGCACGGCGATTTCATCCCCAAAAGCCTCGCGTTTCATAGGTTGGTGGATCGTGCTGTAGACTCCGTCCTCGGCCTCGATTACTCCCTGGCTTAACTCCTGGTCAGGCGCAGAAGCGAAGAAAAAAAAAAACCAAGCGATCCTAATCTTTTCATGTTGGCGTTTCCGTTTCTGAGGGCGTAGAGAGAAGGATCACTCCGCCCCTCACCCCGCTTCGTATCCAGATGCCACACTTCGAGGCTGCCGTTTCAGCGCCATCATTCTGCCCAACCGCCCCATAAGAGGCTTAACATTGAGGGAGAATCTATAAACTGACGTCCCATGCCCAGCCTTACCTGGAACAACCGAGATCCAAGACACCCTCACTTCCATCATCCCTGGGGTGTGTCTCGGCCACTCAGTACCCAGCGGGAAATCCCAAATGGCCTCTTTCTATACACCTCATTCCCTTCCTGCCAGCAGTTCCAGGGTCGGCGCTTTCGGCCTTTCCCGCCTGCATGGGTTCGAGGGAAGGGAGGGCGGGCGGACCGGAGGGGAAGAGGAATCAAGAGCCCCCTTTGTTGGACGCCGTCGCCTCCGGGCCTGCCAAAAGGAGCTCCGCCCGCTCGGGTTATCTGAAGAGCGCCTTTCCGTCCGGCGTTTTCCTGGTGAGGATCTTTGAGGGGGGAGAGAGGCTGAGAAGAGGCGAGAAGGGGAGGGCGGGAAGAAGGAAGGGCGGCGTGGAGGGCGTCTTGAAACCCAGCAGGGAAGCCGCCCTCAATGTTTCCCGCTCGAACGGGAGAAATGGGGCTGGGAGACTCGGGGCAAAGCGCTTCCCTCCCTTGTCAAGCCAGGCTGTGGCTTTTTTTGGGGGGGGGGAGGCGTCAGTGGAGAAAGGAGGGAAAGGGGGCGGAAGGACGCGGGCTTTTTTGCCTCAGAAACTCAATCTGCCCAACAGTAGCGCCTGGGTCTGGGATCTGTCACCGCTGACAGCCGCCTCCACAGGACCCACCTCTCTCTCTCTCCCCCCCCCCCCAATATCCCACCAGTTAAGGCAAGCTGCTCTTCAGGCGCCCCGCCATTATCTTAGTGGGAGGGGAAGAGGCTGCTCTGAATGGGCGGTGGGGAGGGAGGGGGGCTCGCTGGCTTCAACGTAAACATAAATAAAATAAGGGGTCTCGTTTCTCTTCGCGTGTCCTCGAGCTGGAGTCGTCCTCTCAGAGGCACAAACGGCCAGTAACTTCAGGCTGGGCTTTGGCCCGCTCCTTCTCGTTATTCTAGTAAAGCATTCCAGAGATCCAGCCGCTCTCCAAGTGGCCTGAAGGGGGCTCTTTTCCTCCTCTCCAGGAGAGGGCCAGAAGGACCAGCCTCCGCCCACGGGGCCCTCCCTCTCTGCCACCGGGAAACACGGCGACGTGTGTGTCTATACGCAGAAGTCAGCTCAGCCGACTGTAAGGGGACTCATTCTAAGCAACGTGTGTCTTGGAGGGCAACCTCGCGGTGCTCCCACCTATGAGAGAGAAGGCTACTTGGAGTTTAAGAAAACTCTCTATAAAGGCACATTATGAGGCTCCCCGTGTGGTTGGTGTGTAGTGGACAGAGTGGCCGACTAGGACTCTCGAGAAGAGAGTTCGAATTCCCACTCAGCCATGGAAACTCCCTGGGGGAAGGGAACTGGGAAAACCACTCCTTCAAATATCGCACTTACCTTGAAAGCCTGGAATGGGTGGTGAGCCTGATTCAACTGCCGTTATGTTCAGTGTTTAGTATGGGGTCTAAATTATAATCTTGAGCTCAGTTAACACAGAGACAGTGTGAGACTATGCTTTCAAATCAAGCCAGAACCTGGGGCTTTCATCAAGACAAGGTATAATTGCCTGTATTTCATCCTGCCTTTTGCTCAGTGGAGGACTGGAGACATGTATATCCCAGGAGGTTGCAAACTCATTCTCCAATTCCCTTTCTCTACACTGACTTCATCTTTAACATCTTGCCGCCTCATAAATTAGATCAGATTTTTGAAATGTTTGTGTATTCTCCTCCTAATTTTTGTACCATTAAGCCTGACAAAAAGTTTCTGAACAACTCAAGAGCTCCTCACCTTTGTGTCCGGTTTTGTAATACTTCAGACCTTGCTCAATCTGCATTTTGATTTTATTTATGGACTGAATGGCTAATTTGTGTGTGTTTTTATTGTTGTTCAAAATGTTCAGTTTAGAGGAATTTATTCACTACTAAGGATTTCAAGAACTGCAACCTAAAGATGCAAGGAGTAAATCTTGGAGTGGATGGGATGTATTCCTAGTGCATCCATTTGTTTGGCTATAAGACATTCAAAATATGTTCCAGGACCCCTGTTGTCCCAGGTCAGCCAAAATTCTCCAAAACTCTTGTGTTGTATGCTGTTTCAATGTGTACTCAGCCCTGCTTCCAGAACATAGCAATGTTCAGTGTGTGTGTGTGTGTGGGGGGGGAACCATGTGAAAATCTCAGTGTCTTACCCAGATGTGGTCCCAATAAAGCCAGTGAAACAAGAAGCTTGGTTTAAACTCTCTGAATATGTAGTTGGATTTGTTTGGTGTCTCCGGTAGTAGAAGCAGCTCTGAAACTGAATGGATGATATCATTTCTGACAGATGCAATGTGGACATCAATGCCGTGAACCTTGCTCCATGTGAAAAAACAAAACAAAAATCGGGAAGGAAAAGTATAGAAGAATAGCTTTACAAGAGATTTTTGTAATTGTTTTTTAAAAAGTGGATTTTCCTTATTCACAAACCCTTCACCTGGAAGTCTGATATGGTACCGTTGAGGGGATTTGTTGTAGTTATGTGCCTTCAAGTAGCTTTCATCTCAGCTCTAGTCTAAAGTGGTCCAGTCCAGTTTGCTGCCTCATTTCAGTGCAAAAATATGAAAAGTTTCTGAATAATCCCACATTTTAAAAGGGCTTTGTACAAGAACACAAGAGAGTGAACTGGCCTACATCCTTTCCCCTTGATGTGTTAGACTTTGTTTTTAAAGGATTCCCACTATACCATTTTGCTGTAGTACTTGCAGGGACCACAGTGGCAAAGGCTACAGTAGTTACCAGAAGTAAATTGAAGCTTCCAAAAAATCTTTTTTGGGACTGTATCTCTCAGAATCTCCCAGCCACTGCTGGCTGAACAGTTCCGTGATCTGCAGCCGAAGCCTCTTCTTCCAATGCAACAACCTCTTTTTGGAATCAAAATAATTTGTGATCTTTAAAGTGAATTATGCTCTTGTATGTGAGAATTTAGCTCTTCATTTTTAAAAGGGTAGAGAACTGCTGTCCCTTTGCTTCTCTATGTTTGGTGATTCCTGGGTGACTACTTTTAAGGTGGAACCAATCCAGCATGTGGTATTTGATCTGCCACCCATTTATGCAAGCAAGGGTATGGCTGCGGGTATTTACCTGTGTTCCAGAACAGTTTTCCCAATGGGGTGCCCTCCAGATTTGTTAGACAGCAATCTCCATCATCCAGAACCATCTTGGCAAGTATGATGGGAGTTGTCATTCAATTACACTTGAAAGGCAGCTGCTTGGGGGAGATAATTGAAAATGTGTGGCATTATCTGCAGTAATCTCTTTCTTTCTCCCTCTGTTGTGGGCAGGTGATTTGTTTGGGACCATTTTCTGGATGGAAGAATCATCACCCCCCCCCAAAGCCCAACACGCATTCCCTCTTCACCTTCTGTGCATTTAATTTCCTTTCATCCATCTGCTTATCCTCTACATCATCTGTCTTCCAACTTGTGTTTTTCACATTTCAGTCTAGTGCTAGAATACTTTCTTGAGCCTAAGAGTGGAGTAGTCTTCTCTGCAGTTCCCAGGAGGTAAGTCCCCGGTGTAGTATAGTGACTGCTGTGGTGGAGTAAGACTCAGGTGAGTGGGTTCAAGTCCCTGTGCAGCTATTGAAACTCACCGAGGGGGCCATGGAATTGGTAAAGCCACTCCTTAAATATCTTGCTTACCATGAAAGCCCTGGTAGGCTCCCTATATGTCGGTTCTGACTTGGGGGCATGCAATACACAAGTCTCCATTTTGAATAAAGTGGTGTATATTTCCCTTCAAAGAGATACAGGATTAGGCCTGCATCTTGACACACACAGGAACATAATTTACACCCCCAGCCTAGCATGTCTGCTTGGAAGCATGTCTGATACGGAAGATTATTAGAACTAATTGTAGTACTCAGTGCTTGATTCCTTCCACAGCAAATTACCATATTTGCATTTTTCTTCATTTGATGGAAATGAATCTAATATCCTTGAAGTACTCCCTTTGTAGAGATTTCTTGATTCAGCTATGACTGTCAGCTGCTGAGTTGCATAAAAATAAGATTTAGGCCCAGTCAATGCATTTATTTCCAGGTGAATATCTGCTCATTTTATCAGGAAAGCAGAATTCTTAGGGAATAAGTTGACAGTCCTATGGATTTCCCCTATTATTCTGTATAGATTAAAAAGCTGGACAGGAAAGTGGATAGGAAAAATGTAATTCCTTCTAAATACTGTATACCATTCAAGGAGAGCTTGAGGAACATCACGGGCCATTAAGAAGATGTATTCCAAAGACAATCAAGTCCGAACTTTTGTTAAGAGCTAAAATGACTAAATTGAGGCTATAGACATTTGGACATAGCATGAGAAGCCAAGATTTACTGGAAAAGGCAACATGACCGTAGTAAGTAGAAGGTAACAGGCTAGCTCATGAGTTAGATACCTGATTGAAAAGTCAGTGGTTGGGATTTCAGTTCCCCACTGTGCATCCCAGAAGAGCCAGCCTGTGTGGCCTTGGGCAAGCAGCACAAACCCAGGATACTCTCAAAAGAAAACATCCATGAGTACTCTTTACCTAGAAAATCCTAAGAAGGGTTGCCATAAATTAGAATTGACTTGATGGCAAGTGATTATTATTGGTAAGGAAAAAGGAAGACCAAATATAGAGAGATCAATTCAATAAAGGAAGCCATGACCTTTAGCCTGAAAAACCTGAGCAGGACTTTTCAAGGTAGGATATTTTGGAAGATACCAATTCATGATAAATAATTATGTGCAGTCAAGTCACTTAAGACTTATGGTGACCCTTTCCAGAGTTTTCTAGGTAGAGAATACTCAGAAGTGCTTTACCACTCCCCCCTACTAGGGGCACCTTGGGATTGTGTAACATATCCAATGCTACACAGGTTGGCTCTCCTACTGGGAAGCATAATGAAGAAGTGAACTCCTAACTTCTGGAACCCCAGGTTACCTAACTCACTGCCATCCATTCAGCCAGTAAATTAACAGATCTAAATCTAAAGGAACTTGATGACACATAACAACAATAAGCCACCAATGAACTTACTGTGCACTATTGTGCATACTTGGGAGTAAGCTCTCCTGTGTTCATTAGGGAACGCTTCCAGAGAAGTGCATGTAAGACTGCAACCTTAATTTGGGCTGTTTGTAAAGATGCTTAGAATTGTGTCACAAATCCCTTACGGTCTCTTCCACACTTATTTGGGAGTAATCTAGCTGGACTGACAGACTTCTGCATGAACCTTTCTGATCCACATGATCTTTCCCAATTATGATTGTAATCTGATACGGAAGATTATTAGAACTAATTGTAGTACTCAGTGCTTGATTCCTTCCACAGCAAATTACCATATTTGCATTTTTCTTCATTTGATGGAAATGAATCTAATATCCTTGAAGTACTCCCTTTGTAGAGATTTCTTGATTCAGCTATGACTGTCAGCTGCTGAGTTGCATAAAAATAAGATTTAGGCCCAGTCAATGCACTATCTATGTATTCTGGAGGACGCATCTAATCTAACGTCCAAGGGGATGAATACAGCACTATGGCCTCCGTTGACTTCAGTATAACTTCAAGATCCAACAAACACAAGGAGGAAGAGGTTTCAGCTTTGCAACATGTTACTTTGCATACAGATCCCCAATCTATATTTGAATTCCT